GTCAGTGACAAATCGGCTATCAGATCCGGAAAATTAGAAAGATGGTTTGCCTGACTAGGTCCAAGGAAAGCAACTACTTCACGTAATGAGGTATCATAATGAGAACAGAATAATTGAGTAAAGATGCACCAGTTTGGAAATGTCAACTTGTTTAATACCCCTATAAATAAATGTGTTAACTTGCTCCAGATCCATGTTTTAAATGGCTGCAGCCAAAGACGGAAATGACAGAAACTTGAAGTCAATCGGCTGCTGTGGGTTGAACACGTTATATTTAGAAGTTACCAATATGCAGACAATAGTATAACTTATGGAATTATCTATCCTCCTGGCATTATACATGTTCTGATAAGGAAAATAACAAACGAATGAAATGCAACGACTCAGGCCACAAATTGATTAAACTTGCGATTGCACACTCGGCCCACGTGTGTTTTCACGACACAAATACGGTCTGACGTTGAGACGGCATCCGTCTAGGAAATGACAGGCCTCCACGACGCCATTGTCAAAAGCCTTTTCATCCGCGAAGGTGACGAAGGCATAGCACCGCGATTTGCCCGTCTTCTTATTCTTCACCAGGTCGGCCCCGGAAACGGTGCCATACTTGGAAAAGTAATCCTTTAGGTCAGCTTCGGAAACCCTCGGTTTCAACTGACCGACAAATATGGTTCTGGATCGCCTTGGAGCGAGTTCGGATAGATTTTCCTCCATTTCTTTGTTTTCACTGTGAACGGAAGCCGCATCGGTCTTGTCGCTGAAGTTTAAAATTCTATGGGGTTAACATGACTGTTCAGTGCATAAAAAAATTACGCGCATTCTCATTCATATGGGTTTTCACAGACATGCTCAATTTAAACGTACAGTTCAATCTCCGCCACACAAAGTACTTATCAATTCAAGCGAAAATGCAAGTCCCACGAAGTAATTGAGAAGAAGACACAGGCATTGCTGCTCTGTATGTTTGCAGCAATAACCGCGTCCTATATTTACTAAAAAAAACCGTGTGCATGTATTACCCGTTTCGGCTACTGCTCTTTTACTATGTCTCTGATGATGAATCTGCGACGGATCTCGAAACGTCAGATGAATAAAAGAATTATCCCAGTAATCGAGTCGTCTTATTCACAAAGTACTTATTACATCCCAAAACGATATATGCCTTTAGTTACCAGTTTACGATCCCGGGCATATGGACACTGCCCATAACTGTGGGTGACTTACTAAGCCGACCCATACAAGGTTTTCAGCCGCAGTTCTGGATTACTTCAAACAGCTACGCGGATTCTTCTTACAAGTTGTTTTTGCGATAGTCGCCGTTCAATAAATCATTAGGTCCCGCCGTGGTCAAATACAAATTCCAGTGTGATATAAAAGAAATGGTACGAAAGCTGTGCAGGATCGCAGAAAACGCGGCCAAGTTCATTGAACGATCACTCACCGTCAACTCTCACGTTATGACTTTATCATCGTAAACCTGCCAGTGTTACCACCTAAACGGAATTTGCTGATCTTATTCAGCACCGTACACCGAGTGGTGACAATAAAATACCTCCTTGGATGTAGGCGAGCGAGAATCCACGTCCTGGGAGCATAACTTAACGGCGAACACAGGCGCACACACTCACATCGGGCTCCTTAACTGAACGGAAGATCGTCAGTTGAAACAAATATTCTGCTAGTGGCTGGTTCGCTACCTGAAATGGTCGTAAAAGGGGCTGCTCTTCACCCGAGACTTCAGTGTATGTTGTTAGAGATATATAGGGACTAGTCAATTGGCCTGTGCAATACTTCCTCAGAGTATTTATATATCACAAGCTCGCATTTTCTGTGCAAATTTGTCCCGTTATCATTCGTCAATGGGTTGAGGTCAGTCGGGACAGTTTAAAGCAATACCGTGCATAAGAACTGCATATTCAGCAAGACGCATTACTGGGAAACAATAGATCGTCTCTGAGCGGACATTGCTTGTCAACCTTACGCGCATCGTTTAAGTAACCGGCCTAGGTGGTAACCTTGTGCAGGCGGTGAGGGATTAAGTGTCGTCCAGGGCGCATCACATTTTCCTCACTACACCAA